GACTCGATTATGATACTGCACTAGGTGTCGGATTGGGCTGTCTTTGATATGCCAATCAGTGAGATCCTTAGAGGGGGTCAAAACTTAGGTATGTTGGGACAATCCAAGAATTCATCTGAGTGGGTGATCATAGTGACAGGATCAACCCCTTTGTCGAACAAAGTGAATGATCAGGGATGCACTCTCTTTGATGGAAACCTAAACTACCGGCAATTGATTTCAACCATTGAAATTTGTTTTTGCAAAATATATTTATATATATATATATATATTGGTTTCAAAATGTTAGCAAAAGATTTTAATTCCCGGGGTCCATGTAAGTAGAGAGTGCAGCACTGCACCTTGCAGCCAAGGGAGAGGTCTTCTCTTGTCAGGCAGTGTTTGATCATTATGGGCTGAGAGGTTAAGTGTAAGATCATTGAGGATTATACTTGATAGGCTAATCTTGTATCTGCTTACAGTCCTTGGGCCTTCATAAGATGGCTGGACCCAAGGACCATTTAGTATAAATGTTGGGCCCATTAAGAGCCCATAGTGATGGACTCAGGGGTTCACTGCATTCAGCAGTGAATTCGGCTAGGCCTTGTAATAGAGGATAGGCTGAACCTATGTGGCTGATGTGTAGATCAATGATAGGGTCCTACGCCATACAAAGAGAGCCAAGCTAGTCAACATTAAAGTGGAAGTGAGCCTGAAAGCTTAACAGGGCTAAAAGCCCATTTCGAACTGGGTTAATTAGATTAATTAAATAGGGGCGGATCTGAGATTTGGATCAGGACATAAGATAAGGGATTATCCTTATCCACTTAAAGAGTCCAGATCCAAATAAAGATTTGGATCGAATGAACTCCTAATTTGATTAGAAAGGTTGATCTTTATCTACAAATAAAATAAGAGATTATCCTTATCACTTATAGAGTCCAGATCCAAATAAAAGATTTGGATTAGGAAACTCCTAATGAGATTATGAAATTGTCTCTTTAAGGCTATAAATAAGAGAGCATGGCGAACCTTCAACACACATTCACTGAATATAGAGAGAAGACAACACAGTTAGTCTGCTCTTGGTTCTTTGGGCGTGAACACCTACGTTGGGAGGAGCATTCTTGCGTGGATTCCGTATCCGGTATATCCCTCCCTAATTTTGGTTTCAGATTTGGTCCGGTTTGGTTACAATAACGAACCTTGAAAATGCAGTTTTCTAAATTGGGAATAGGATTCCCGGATAGGAGTAACGAAATTTTTGAAATTTTGCCCAACCTTCCTGCAGGGTTCGGCCATCCATATGATGGATCTCCTATCCCTTCAGTGGTATCAGAGCTAGGTTCAAGTCTTGAACCAAATTAGAATAGATCTGAATCTGCGCAAATGGGCAGAAGGCGTTCTACCCGATTTGCGCAATTAGAATTTTTTTGGGAATTGGTTCCCAGATTATGGGCAGATGATCTGGAAAATAAATCTTTATTATTCTCTTATATTTATAGAATTGTTCTGTGAATGTTTCTTGAATTTTTGGGCTGCACATGTGGTGGATATCAAATCTTTATGGTGCCAAGAATGGCACACCCTGCGATTTCTTTTCTATTCAATTCTGGTTTGTAAATAATTTTTTTTTTATTTTTTAGACAAATTGTATAGGAATTCGATGTAATGTAATAATAGAAAAATTAGGTTTCTCTATTTTATTTCGATATGGAGGTTGCTAGAGCGCACAACAAAGGAAAGGAAGATTTCACAGAAATAAGTTCTGCGATCTGTGATTTTGCAGATATCAATTCTGCAATCTGTGATTAACTATTCTTTGCAGGTTTGCAGGACATCCAAGAAAATCACAATGCAACCCTCTGTTTTAGTTTCTTGATAATTAGATTATCTTGAATTAATTTATTTTCAGATCATTATTCTTGAATTAAATCTTGAACTAGACACCAAAACATGGGCCGATTTTCACCAAATTTGGTCCAAATTGGTTGGACCGAATTGTTGGTTCGATGGGGGTGGTTTTTCTAACCCTAATTCGATTTAGGCCAGAGGGTTGATAGCCCCCTTCAAGCTTTAATTCAGCCCACCTCTGTAAAAACCTATCTTTAATATGATAAAACTGAATCATCCGTAATTTAGCTACATGGACCGAACTGCTTTTTGCAGTACAGCCCATGTACCTAGATAATGTTATATGATAACATTATGGGCTCTGTTGGGCTGATACTAATTTAATCTAATTAATTAAGGATTTTACAGATATTTTAATTGATTGGATCAATTTGTTTCATGCATGTGATATATGGATGTGTTATGTTCTACGCACATGGACCATAAGTACTTGGCCCATGATTATTTCGATAGTGGTTATTTCGCACATCATTGCCATGGTGTCCATAAGATCATTAGATGATCTCCCCATTTGGTGGGACCCACATCAGCTTCCTCCCCAAGAGGAACCATGCGGAACCCTAGCCGTTTAGGGCCCATTTAAATCAGGGTTTGAGAAAGTTAGTGGGAACCACTTTGGTTTGACCTAAATAAAACTAGGGTGTAATATTTTATTCCCTCCACTGAAATATGAGTGCTTGTGATAGGGAGATTCATATGATGAACTCTCTAAAGGCCTTCCATCATTAACATGAAGATGGGTCCTTCAGTAATGAGGAAATGCACCATAAAATTGGGCTATCCATTTGCGGCTGGATCTGTTGGATTGTTTCATAAGATGATAGGGGCGTCATAGACCGATGTGGGAGGGGCCTATCCTAAAATGGAAGTCTCTCTCACGGTACTTTGGCGTTCACGAATATGATGGATAAGCACTCACTAGATAGAAAGGTTTAACCTAAAATGGCAATGAACCTTGTTTGACAGAGGCCAAAGGGAAAGCTCATGAGATGAGTGGATGCGATCCTTCACAGAGGGTGGTTGGCTTATGCAACTGAAACAGTTGGCTCTAAGCACCCTATGTGGTTTCCAACATTTCTAGAGACATAGTTCGCAGTCTCCGTCACTGAGATAGGAGGAAAATCTCAAAGATGAACAAATGGAAATGGAACATAGATTAAAAGCCATATCTATGTTGATAACATGAACCAAATTAGGTTGTGGACTAATATTTGCTTTGCCTTTTGTCATAAATGGCAAATGGACAATTCGCCAAACTGTTATACGACAATAAGCTTAAGGGCCCAAATTACGTTGACTGGTATCATAAACTTATGCTGATTCTGACGTCCGAGAAATTGTACAAGGTTGCTAAGAACCCTGCTCCGGATCATCTAGGTGATAGGGCTTCTGAGGCTCACAGGAGGGAATATCAAGAATTGGAAGAGAAAAACTCTCTT